TATTTCACTTCTGGGTGAAGGAGGTACTTTGTATGTCCATGAACTTAGTCTTTAAGGTGACAAATTAAATTTGGCCTTTTATTTTGTGTATGGGAAAAAGAGTAAAATTTTCAAAGTTTTGATTTGAGTGGAAAAGTAGGAGTTTTGTTAGTTTTAGATAATCTTCCTTTTTCTTATCTTCCTTTTTCTTTATCTCTTCCTTCATTTTTTTTTAAACTAAAGATGACAAGTTTTCTGTTGTTTGGTTGCAAACTAAGAGAGGCTCCTCATGGAAGCATTTTGTTTCTAAAAGCCTTTCAGATTTTGCTGTGCCAATGTCGAAAGTATTCTCCTTGCTCCTTTTTTTTTGGGGGGGGGGCCTGGAACACAAAGAGTTAAAACTATTAGAAAAGTAAACAAAGAGAAGCCCTGCTCAATTCTCTGTACTTCCTTTGGCATCCTATTGAAGTGTGATCCTGGTGTATTTTCACTGAGTATTTTTCGTTTTACTGTGTGGTCTTTATCCAGAGTAAGTTTTAGTTCACTTTTAAGAGCCAGTGATACTTTAGAAAAGCAAGGGTGAACCTGGACTTCAAAGGTGCCCTCTAAAACAGTGGCAATTGAGGCACACTTAGTGTCTTGAGCAACGGGTTTCGAAAGATGTTGCAGGTTAACTTATAAATCCAGCATTTGAAATTGATGGTATTTTATCCTCTACCAGTAAAACTTGCAGCACTGTTGTTGCATAAGAATGTGAAAGTTTAACAGCTCCTGTTTTTTTTTTTTCGAATTTATTTAGTTCATTACAAAAAAAAAAAAGGAAAACCCCAAACAAAAACAAAGAAACAAACAATACCCCCCTCAATCTGAAAGAGGGAATTAAAAATAACATACAATATTTTCTATCTCATTTTCTGACTGATCATTAGAGGACACTATTTAGAAAGGGAAGGCTGGTGCATCAGAAAAATCTGCTCTACTTTGTTTATCAATGTCACCAGGATTTTCAAGTTGAGATAAACTTATTGCTATTTACAATTTTACTTTTCTTCCTGGACATGCATTCCTACTGCCTTAAGGGATTTATTTGCCATTGGCAGGATTAATGTCAACATCATTTTCACTTGATACTGTATTTTTTTATTTCTTAAGTTACAAACCTCAACTTGATTCACCGTCAATTGATTTATTTAAATAACATATTTTTGTATAATTTCTCTCCCTCTGCTGCCCATCTTTGCAGCAGGCTTCTCAGCCTCACTTCTGATAAACACATTGATTTATTTAAACCACTGTTGTCTTTGCCGCTCTCACAGCAGATACCTTCCTCCCAGGGAGCAGACGCATGATTTACTGTGGAGGATGACAATAAGCCTTCTTCTTGGTGTCCCATTGTCTGGGCCCTAAACCAGCTGTCTATTAAAATGGTTTCACTTAAAATAGTCAATGCTGTTTATATGCTCCTGGGATCTCCCAGCTGACCCAGCCTGGACCAGCTTTACTCAGACCCTGCAAAGTGCATATTTAAATTAGGAAGAATGGCAGAAACTTCCCCTAAGTTGGTGTGAGAGGATCCCCATCCTTCTGAGCTTAACCCATTAAGTTTTGCTTAGCTCTGAGCCAGTTTTGATGTGTGCGTGCTAAATATAGATGGTAGAGTTTGAAGAGGGGCTTTCAGTTGGGGGTGCAAGCTGAAGGGAGAACTTGGTGGCATTTTTAAGCCTGTCTTATTGCTGTCACTCTGTCTCAGAAATGTTAACTCAAATAAGTTTATCATATCATTATATATTGGATCTCATTGCACTGTTGACTTCTAGGCCCATAGGATCCATATGATGACTCTCTGTGTGTGTGTGTGTGTGTTTAATAAGCCTCTGCAGTAACAAAAACTGCTGGGTGGGGTTGGAGTGGCTTTGTCTTTGAATTCCACTGGAAAGCTAACCCCCCTTACAGTGAGGTTCTAGTTCACTTTAGATACAGGATTTCAGACCTAGTCCATGGTGAAGTTTTGCTTTGCTTTTATTTTAGAAGTCACAAAACAACTGTTTTCTCTCTGCCTTTAAGTGTTGAGAAGTATTCTTCTATCCATGTGCAAGAAGGAGAGCAGAAACTTCAAGCTCCACTCCTCCCCAGAGTTCCTAATTATTTCTAAGCAAATCCACACTCATGGTTTCATTTTTCTATGCTTGATTTGGAGAAAGATTCTCTGTTTTGACTCTTCAGCCAGAAGTGAAGTGGCAGTTTGGTATTTGGTATAGAGATGTGTTACAGAGACTCCAGGCCTTCAGCAAATGATGTGCAGCTACCAAAGAGAAAACATGGGACTTCTGGCGATCCATATTATTTGCTTGGGGGAATGGGCATATATTTGCAGTGCAGTGTAACTTTAATCAGATATCATGGGCCCACTGATTTAAATGGAATCATAGCTTCAATAAAATAATATTCATATCTTTTACAACTAATCAGAATAAGAAAATCTAGTTAACGGACCCCCCCCCCTCAAAAAAAAAACACAACAAAATAACTTTTTTTTATTTTAACAGTAAGGGAAACCTCACCAATATTTGTGAATTTATTTACCAAGTTCAAGATAAATATTAAAGTTGGAACAAAGGTTATCAAGAGTATTAAGAGAACATACAAAGAATTTAGTGATGATGGGAGTTAGCAGAAATGCGTCATTAGAATTTTTTAGCACCATGTATAAGATCTAATCAGTAATTTACTGTTTTTTAAGAATTTTTTTTCAGCTATGATTACAGGAAATAAAGCAGGCTGACTTTTTTTTTTTTTTTTTGGTTTTCAGAGCATTTTTAGTTAACGTATTTTTCTTGAGTAAAACAATTTCTTGGGAATTTGAAAAGGTCTTTGAAGAATATGGAAACAAATGGGCTAGGGATATAGCTCAGTTGGTAGAGTGTTTGCCTTGCATGAATAAGGCTCTGGGTTCGATCTCCAGCACCCTCATTAAAAAAAAAAAAAAAAAAAAAAAAAGGAATGAATCATCTGTGTGCTATGAACAGTGGATGAAAATTTGAGGCATAAAAGTTATTAACATAATGTAGATTATGTCTGCAGAAGATAGTTATGAATTACACAGGTACAGTGATAACATTATAGTGGGGAAATCTGGCAGATGATCTCTGGTGAATGGCAGGCAACAAATGGTCAGAGATTAGGTTGCCAGTAGTGGCACTGGTAGATAGCATGACCTGATAGGGAGGGTTCCCCAGCACCCCCATAGTATTCCCACCCGGAAGTACATCACTTTAATCTGAGCCTGAGGAAACTCAGATCAACCCAAATAGAGGGATGTTTTGCAGAATGACTGGCCCGTATTCTTCGAAAATGTCAATGTCAAGAAATTCAAAGGCTCACAAGTGTTTCATATTAGAGGAGACATGACAGCTGAATGCAGTGATTAGTATTGGATTTTCTTTTGCTGTAAAGGACATTATTGGGTAATTGGTAATCTCAAGAAGGTCCAGAGATTAGATTATTGCATTGTATCAATGTTAATTTTCTGATGTAGATAATTGTACGGTGGTTATGTAAGAGAATTCCTCATATTAAGAAAATACAGGCTGAAATATTGAGGACATGTCTGCAGTTTACTGAACATTTTTTTAGGGAGGAAAGGTAAAAGAATAAATCCAACTTAGTGAAATGCAAGCATTTGTGGACTCTGAGCAGCAAATATTCTGGACTTCTTTACATATTCTTGCCACTTTTCTGTAAGTCTACTATTATGTCAAAGTAAAAATATTTAAAAAAACCCTATATGGTTATGATAGCCTAGCTGTTAAAAAATGATTCTGATTGGGCCAATGGTAAGGAAATATTTCCTCCTCAATTTTTACTTTGTTGCAAAGTTTGTTTTTCCACCTGGTTAGATATAATAACCTGGATCTCTTCTAAGGATCTTTACACACTGGGTCTTAATCTGTACCCATCATTTGCATATTCTGAATGTTCCAGCATCAAAAACAAAGTAAATTAGAGCCAACTACCAGTTAGTCGGTGCAGCATTTTTATGTGCTACATAATAGTCTCTGGCTAATTTAAGTTTTGTCACCAAGAAATTGAGGGTTATGTGAATGTGTGAAAGTAATTTTATTAACGATTTGAAGCTGTGTGATATTAGTATTATTCAGTGATGCAGTGTTAAGTTAGCTAAAAATATCCCTGTGCAGAATCCTGTGCTGCTAATAGCCCTGTGTTTTTCTTTGGGCCAGGTATGAACATGTAGATCTGTGAGGAAGCTGAGGTCTAAGGGAACCTTTGTGGAAGCAAAATGTTTGTGCACACATTACAAAAATAGACAAAAACATCTTGGCTGGTGAGGTGGTTTGGGATTTTAAGAGTGAGAGGCAATTTGTAATGTAGGGAGATAATTCTGTGGCTTAACCACCACACCCAGCATATGCTAGCAAGTATTCCTGTTTGGGTGGGTGTGCACCCTGTGAGAGAGCCTTTTTTTTTTTTAGTCTATGGTGGGAAGAGGGATTTTCCCTGATTAATTGAATCCTTTGTAAAAGGATGCAGTCAGTGAGTGGATGCCTTAGCTTCACCCACACTTGTTTTCTCCTGCTCCCCACTAGAACCCTAAAATTTGGGGCTGGGAGTAGTAAAGCAAGAGGCAACTGTATGATTTTCTGTAATTTAAATAAATAGTATGTCAGTCTATTCAGTCTTCTGGGTTTTTATTTCTTATTGATTAGGCTTATTTTTATTCTGAATTGAAAAAAGAATTATGGTTGTCTTGACAACAGAAGTCCATCACAAACCCTGATCCAAAGATGTGCATCATAATAAGGTGGTTGATAGGACAGAGAAGGACATATCGTAATCCATTCAATTTGGGGTGATCCTGAATAGTGTATTTGGAAACCATCAGCTCAGCAAGGTTCTGGCTCCTAAGGGCTAATTGGTCCTCAGCAGTGGCGACCTTGATTGAGATAATTTTTGTTCTGCTTCTTGGTTCCATTCATAGCTAAAAATCATGCCTTTGCTTTCAGGCCATAGTGTATGAAGGCCAAGACAAGAACCCCGAAATGTGCCGAGTCTTGCTCACACATGAGATCATGTGCAGGTAAGAAAAACCTTGGTCTCTCTCTTTAATTAGCCAAGAGAAGATGAATTAGTATCTCAAATGTAAGTGAGCTCAGTTTGATTTGGGGGTATACATTTATCTTGCTTCTAGTCGACAATCTGAAAAGAATTGTTAGACGTATTTGGCAGTCCATGTGTCACGTGTAAGAGTGGTTCTCAATTATTTATTAGATTTTGCTCTGAAAGACACCCACTCCATTTTGATATCTCACTGTCCTCCCTTTCTTCCTTTCAATTGAATAAGATACAATATAACCCTTTTAATGTTAATATAGGCACTCAACTGCATTGTTAGTAAAATGAATAAGCATTCTACTGAAGCCATAGAGGCTTCTGTTTGGGTAAACTTGAAAGTTATAGTTTTTACTTTTTAATTCTCCCACTTAAAAATATGACTATCTTCGACTTGGGAGGCTGAGGCAGGAGGATTGTGAGTTCAAAGCCAGCCTTAGCAAAAGCAAGGTGCTAAGCAACTCAGTGAGACTCTGTCTCGAAATAAAATACAAAATAGGGCTGGGTTGGGGTGGCTCAGTGGTCAAGTGTATCCCCACCCCCAGAATGAACATCTGTACTTAGACATCATTTCTCCTTAAACTGAATGTGATTTTTTTTCCCCTTACATCTTATCTCTTAGCTGCTTTGTTTGTAATTGATGTTGTAGCGAATATTTCTTAGAGGTTGTGAGCTTTGAGCCTTTGGAAGGATAGCAAAGATGAACCCCGAAAAAGTCCAAAAATTTATCCTACTCATGTTTTTACTTTTGCATGCAATCGGACTAAAGCTACATTTGAAAACAGGGATGAGACCTTTGGTACCTCCACATGTGAGAGAATAGACCAGGGAATAGCCTTTTAACTCCTATTCTTATTCTTTGTAAAATAATACCAGCACTTTGCTCCCAATATATTCTGAATAATTGGATAAAGCATTTAGATGCCACTGTGCATCAGAGAGAGGCTACTAATTGCTTTATTAGCTACGCAGCCTCCTCCTGGCATAAGGCGTGCCACTACTATTACTGACCAATTGGTTTGGGACTTCAGCTGCCACCTCAGCATGGGTGGCCCTTATATGCTGCTCATGGACTTGTGGGGGAAAGCCATCTTAAGACTCTACAGGTGGAAATAAAACTCAAGGGCTTAATGTGCTTCCTGAGTGAAATCCCAAATATTAACTTCTTCCATGTCTATAAAAATTTCATTTTTTCCTTTTCAAAAAAATGCTTCTAATATATTATTTCAAAATATATAGAACTTTCACAAGTTTCCACTTCAGTGATCTGTACAACTTGTTAATTATTCCAAAAATATGTTGTTTTCTCTAAAGCAGTAGCAGAATCCAAAAATGTGGTCATGGATTTGTTTTATGATGAGGCCAAAATTAGGGTTATGCTGCATATAATGATTGTATAATAAAGCTGAGTTGCACCTCTCAGAATTAAATGAGTAAAATCCATTTTGAAAAGCATTAAAATGTGACCTCCTTTGTCTTCCTGTTTTCCCATCATCTCTCTATTATTTTAGCTTCCTACAATTAGCATGTCATTAGACTGAATTTTCCGTGTTCCTCTATGTGTGATTCTAGCAAAATAGAAAAGAGACAGGAAGATGGATCTCAACCAGTAGGCCAAATAATATCTATACATCATAGATTTGCATCTCGTATCTGCACGTTTGGTCTATGCTAGAAATAATTCTGTTTTTGAAATGCTTAAAGATATATTATTCCTTTCACACACAGGCCTACCCTCTATTAATGCAGTTTATATTTTTCTTGTTTTTAAAATTCATTGGTCCAAAGTGCTTTATTATGCTGGTTGGTGTGCTTTATTGCTGATGTTCTCTCTATTTTTCAGAAACATAAAAATAGCAAAAATAAAATTCTCAAGCCACTGACGGCAAACGATGCTGTTTGTACCAGGAGGCTAAGAGGGAAAAGCCATATTCAAAATGTCATCTTGCTAATGTTACAGATTACAGTTTTCCTGGCTGCCTATAGATGTGTAAGGGGTACTGTTTGTTTACCAGGCCGCCATGACCCCATTACACAAACCTGTCATCTATTGTGTGGCTAACAGTCTTTTAAATTGCAAATCTGATGCTCTTTAGGGGGCTTTAGGAAAAAAAAAATCTCACTTTCCACACCATCCTATTTCTCTTGATTTCTTGCCTGTTGTAAGTGGAAGTTGGGATGTGCTGAATTTGCACCAGGGGTGCAAATGCAGGCTCAATTATAAGCATAAAATTAGAGTCTGTTCACCATTAATCAGCCTGGCTAATTGCTATGCACCACCATTAGCCATATGGTGTGAAAGACAGCTTGCTCTCCCCAAGATGAAATTTCTTCATTGCAGACATGAAATAGTGAGGGCCCTGGATTTTAAAATAGCTTGTTTTAGATATTTAATTTCTAAACAACTTTCTGCAGTGCTTTCTATCAAAGCTAACTGCACAATAAAACTTTGCGTTGATGTCACAAAAGCTGTATATTTATAGTACGTTGGCTATGGTAAAGGAGACACAGAATTTAGATCGACAAGAAAGGGCTTGGTATGATTCTGTTTTGTTGCAAGCAAAGGAAAAAAAAAGAAAAGAAAAAGAAAAACAGAGTTATATCTGAGGTGTTGCAAATTTTAAAACCTATTGTGTTCTGTAGAAAAGCTGACCCCATTGCATGAGCTGGCTAAAAGAACTGCCACCATTGGATCATAATTGTTACCACTTGGAGACAAACCTTTCTTGCACGATGACATGGAGCTCTTCTGCAGCATTCTGGGAGAGTTTCTGCCTTTTTGGTGAATCGGCATCTGGCATACCAATCCCGATTACATTATACTGATACCTGGTGGTGATGTTCTGCAAATAATATGAATCCATGAATGACTTTTTAGAGTAAGATTCTAGAAGAGATTTGCTTCTAAAGGCATCCTGACATCCAGTGTTTAAATGTGATTGGAAAATAGGAGTTCTACCCAGTAGGTGAACCTAGTTCTCAGTGATCTGGGGAAGGCTAGATGAAGTAGGTTTTCTCCACTTGTAGTACACAGGACAATGGCAGTGGGTGGGTTCCCAATTTAGGAAAGCATTCTTCCAGTTTTTAGAGCTTGGTTACTTGTATGACCAAGTGTTCTCAAAGCTAGCCCTGCACCTTGATGTACTTTTTCTTGCTTCCTCTTTTACTGGCTTAGTCTGATTTCCTCCTTTAGACACTCACTAGAGCCTGGCTCTTCAGAGAAGTTGGCCTAGCCCTTGGTCTGAGCCATGGCCACTTGGGTGACATCCTGTATACACTGTGCTTCCTTTGGGGCTCTCTTTGAGGTTTTAATATTAACTTTCCCATGTGGTGGTGAAGATTAAATGCTGTAATCCTTCTAATTGCTTATCATAGTGCCTGATACAGTCCATAATGAATGTCTATTATTATTTTTAGTAATATATAGTATTAATGGAAGCAGTATCAGCAATATCTGCAGTGTTTAGCTAAATATTGACACATCATTTCTCAGGGTGAATGATGACGAGATTATTGAAAGGAAGTGAACTATGTATTGAAGCAAGAAAAGACTTTGTGCATTCCCATTTTGGTGGTTAAGGATGCCTTCATTCATTTGTTTAGCATCTTCTATGTGCAAATCTTCAAGGAATAGAGTTGGATCCTACAGTAAGAGAGCTGTAGTTCACCTGGAAGCTGAGACCTGTAAGCGGACAGCTAGATTTCACCCTAGAAAGGGTTGCATATGATAAAAGGTAGAGGTAGAGAGCTCTGCCTGTCCAGAAGAGGGACTAAATACTTGTAGGTGGTCACAGGAGCGGGGAGCTGGATGAGGGATTTTAACAGGTGCATGAAGGAATGTTGGAAGTCAGGCAGAATTTCTGTGTGGAGTGGTCTGCAGTTGGGTGTACCTGTGACCTGGACCACCAGCCCAATAAGCTGTCATATAAGACACAGCTCCTACTTGAGCCTCCTCTCTTAAAGTGTTCAGTGAACTGGCACTTTTCTGGTGCTCTTCTGAGTCTTCACATCCATGTGGATCTCTCCAGCCCATGTTATATGGACAACTTCCCTTTTTGAGATAAGTTCTTTTTATTTCTTGCCAGTTCACTGAACACTTTAAGAGAGGAGGCTCAAGTAGGAGCTGTGTCTTATATGACAGCTTATTGGGCTGGTGGTTTTGCTTTATTGAGACTGGGAAAACTTGACAATGTTTTTAAACCATTAAATAGGTTAATGAAGAATTAAATAGGGGTGGGGAGTCACAGATGCTCAACAAGAGGAATCCTTGGGGAAGTTCCAGGTGAGGCAGAGGTTGGACCTTTATACTTTAAGAGATGGGAGGGAGATAGAGGACAGAGGATAGAAGAGTCTCTTTATGTTTTGGCTTCCTTAGAAACTAGCCACCCTTACAATTTAATCAGATTATTCATCTATTTTCATTCTTTAGTTGCTGTAGTAAGTACAGAAGACATATTTTTGGGGGGGTAGGGGGATACCAGGGATTGAACTTGGGGGCACTCCACCACTGAGCCACACCCCCAGCTCTGTATTGTATTTTATTTAGAGACAGGGTCTCATTGAGTTGCTTAACACCTCACTTTTGCTGAGGCTGGCTTTGAACTTGTGATCCTCCTGCCTCAGCCTCCCAAGCCACTGGGATTATAGACTTGCACCACATGCATGGCTAGTAGGGAAGACATCTTGTTTCTTATTGTGCAGCTGGGTTTGAAATGATGTTTTTCTCCAGTTGCAAGTGTCTCTCTTGAGAGAAAGAAGTTCCATGTCCAAGATGAGGATCCACAGGTCCCATGATTAGGGAACATTTAGGTGTCTCTTGATCTGATTTATGAAGCTGTGAGTCAGTTCCCTAGAAATTCACCGCCTGTGTCAGGCTATTAAGGCAGAGGCTTCTATGTTGGCTTTACTCTGCTTGAGCTGTTTGGGAGATGGTGGTCCTGCTGGAGAAAGGGCTGCTGCTCTAGTCCACAATGTGCATACCTTACCAGGTGCGAGGGACCCCCTGCTCTGGCTGGCCACATGGCTCTCCTCTGTTACTTGGGTTGCAGATTGGAAGGGATGTAAAGAGCAGAGCCGTGGCAACTGCCTGCTCTGGAAATCCTGCTCTGGTGACAAAGTAAATTAGGAAACTCCAAGCTCCGTGTCCCCCCCCCCCCCAGCAAGATGCCTGCTTTAGGGAGCATATGCCATGTCCTTGCAGGCGTATATAGTAGGAGCCTAAAAGACAGGGTTGTGAATGAATGAGGGTCTCACTGGGTAATGAGGTATAATGAGCACTGTGTTTCCTTTTATTAACACAGTGACTTTTCCCTGAAAGTGCTTTACAGCGGTTTCATTTATTGGATTGTTTCAGTATGAGGCCTCTTATGCTTTAAGCATCAGTGAATTTGTTCTCCTTTCAACTACTGGTCCTCCAGGGTCAATGCCTGTCTTGTGTGCACTGGAGATGGGAGCCCATCTTTCTTCTTTTGAGTTGAGTAGGAGGAAGAACCCAATGGACAAGAGATACTGTCATGGGAATGGAGGAATCTAGGAAGCCACAGGGCTAGGCAGCAGCTTAGCATTAAGAAAGACCTTCTTTCTCCTAATGGTGGTTGATTTTTAATTTTTTATTAGGAAACTAATTTTACAACACAAAACAGAACACTAAAATATCACGAAAATAAAACTTCCTCCAGTCTTCCCCATTGCCTCTTTCACCCCCTGCCCATAGGTTAACTCTTCGAAGATCCTATTAATTGATTAGAAAATGATTCCTGAAGTCATGTGTGCTGGACTCAGTTCCAGCTTTCTGGGGATGTAGAGGGGGACCAAACAGTCTAAGATTCTGTGCTTGTGTGGCTTAAATTCAAGTGAGAGAGACAGACCACAAAAGAAGACAAATCAATATGAAATACAGCATGGTATTGCCAAGAGAGGTACGGCAGGCTGAGGCACTTGGGAGCGCGGGACGTCAGGGACAAAGGGAGATGTCTAGAATCCTGTGCCAAGTGAGGGGTCAGCCAGGCTAGTGAACAATTCCCCCTTCTTTTCCCTCCCTTTCTCTTGCACTCTTTCATTTTTCTTCCAGAAATGGGATTATATTATGCACATTATTCTGCAACTGGGTTCCCTCAATTCATAATACAATGTACACTTTCTTTCCATGATAGCACACCAGACCCCACCTTTATTTTTTTTAATGATGCATAGAATTCCATATATTCCACAAATATGGGTATGTACTTATACACACATCACACACACACACACACCCACAATATGGCTGTGTGATACATTGAAGTGATTCAAGAAACATGAAGCCTGTTGAGCTATTCTTCATACTGTTCATGAAGTTCTCTTTATGAGCATTAAGTGACCCTGGTCCCCTTCATTTGTATTCTCCTCTTCTTCATTCTGCCTCTTTCATTCCTGTTCTATCCTTCCTTCTACACTTCTGTTCTTTGCATCTGCCTGTTTGCCTTGGTCCCTCAGGGCACAGCATAGAGGCATGGTTCAATGTAACTGGTTGCTCTCAGGGGTATTTTAATTTTAAGGAGATGAGGACCATGCTGAAGTCCAGGGACACACCTCAAGCCTAGTGTGGCACTTGTTTTGGGGAATGGGTTAGCAGATGTGTGGTGTGGAGTGAACCTTCCTTCCCTTAGCAATGTCTACCTGGAGGGTCACTTGGCCCCTTTATTTGTCCTTTATTATTCCCCTGGATTGTCTGTCCCTCAGCATATCATACTCATTCATTCATTCATTCATTCCTTTGATTACCTAATACTTGAGCTTTCTTATTCAATCCCAGGATTTATGCTACTCATTAGGAAGGTAAAGTTGACATTTTCTTTCTTCACGAAGCACATGAGTTACAGGAGAAGGAGAATGAGAGAGGGAGAAAAATCTAAGGAAAGATGCAAAAATACACACCCAAAAATGTAATTTTATTGTATCCAGTGCCCTACAAGAAAAACACTCTAGAGGAGCCTACTTTAGATGAAGAGTGGATGTCAGGGCAAAACTCTCTGAGGATGGAGGAGTAGGCTGAGCTCTGAGGGTCAAGGAGAGGTTGACTGACTGGGGATGGGATGGAGATGGGATTGGCCAGCAGAGAGGCCTGCGCAGGCCTGGGCCCGAGGGCTGAAGGAACACAGCACATCAGGGAGGATTGAAATTGGCCTGTGAGGCTGGAGCTTGGCAAGCTGGAGAGAAGGGGCAGGAGGTGGGGAGGTGGTCTGGCACGGCACCCAGTCATGGATTTGTTCTAAGTGCATTGGGAAGCCTTTCCAAGGCCTGGAACAAGGAAGTGACACGTCCCATAGATGTTTTCAAAAGATCATTCTGGCTGTTGGAGGAGTCACCGTGGCAATGGTGGGACCAGGTGGGAAGCCACTGTGGGAGCTCAAGAGAGACATGAAAGTGGCTGGGCTGATGATGGTGGCAGTAGAGAGGGAAAGAATCCAAAAGGGTTGTTGGAAGAGGCCTGAGAGAGCATTTCATCCAGGTAGGAACCTTGTGAGAGTGTGACCACCAGGGACTTGCATCGTTCACAGGCGGTTTTTGAAAAAGAAAACGGAGAAGAAATAGGCCCTTCCCTCCATCCGTCCTCCCTCCCCCACCAACCAAAATAAAGGAGATTTGGGCTCTGCTGATGGCCTGGCTTTGGAGACTGGCTGCCTCTACAGAGTTCAGGGCAGAGTTGCTCAGACTTGGAGAAGATGTAGCTGAAGGAGGCTGGCACAGGGATTGGTAGTGAAGTTGCCCTTCTAGGGCTCATAGTAGGCCAGGCACAGGGCACAGGCTTTATGTCTCGATTCCATCAAATCTGTGCTTGAGCACTTAGGGGTGGGTGCCCAAATTGCCCCATTTTACCAACTAGAAAACTAAGACTGTGAGGTGAAGTCCCTTGCTCAAGGACTTGCTCTGTCTCATTCCGGAGCCAGCATTTCTAATCTCTGTTGTTTGGGAGTTTTAGCTTTTAATTAAAAAAAAATATATATATATATTTTGAACATGCAACTCTGGCTACTTGTGCTTCCTACTTTCTTTTTCCCTTATCTGTCTCTTAAATATCAGGACACTTTAGGCTTTCCATACCCAAAGCACTGGTATAGCAGAATTTAGGCCTAGAGGAAATAGTTTCCTCTGAATCAGAAAGGGAAAGGGATCAGGTGGGTGGAGTGGTTTTTAGCTGGGCTTTGACAAAGGAGATAGAATTCTTACCATTGCTTTCTGAGGACAGGAGGCACAAGCAAAATTAGCTGATTCACTTTCTCTGAGATATAGTTACAGTGGGGAAAGAGACTTCCCAATTTTGGTGAAAGATTCCCTGTATAGAATATTTGTGGCTCCTAAAATTGAAGTTCCATGTTTGATTCTCTCCAGCATCTTTCTAAATTTGGGCTGCATGTTCACTAAATGACAAGTGTGTGTTTGTGTATGTGTACACCCAAGCACGTGTAAGAGGGTGAGAGAAAAGTGCATATTTTGCTTGTGGTGGATGGTGAAGTCTAACCCTTGGATAACCTCCCCACTTTAACTGAACTAATATGTGCTTCCATAGTGTAACTCTGGGTGTAACCAGCAAGCGGACACGTTTGTTATTTGCAAAGAAGTCTCCAATGGATAGTTTTCTGCTGGCCACGGGTATTTTCAAAAACACGAATCTTTCATCCTTTACAAGCTTCTCAGTTTCAAAAAACACCAGCAGCCTTCAGGTCACAAGTGGGTAGGGTTTGGGTTATGGGTGCTTTCTTTGCCCATGGCTTTTCTCTTTTTGACCTGATCAAGAGTGGTCACCGTCAGGGCTGTGCTAACTTGGGATGCACCGTCCATACGGTTTCCAGAACACTTAAGTGGTGGCCAGTGTTGTCCCCCAAACCTAGAGGACTGTGCCTGCGAACCCCACTTTCCTTTATGTTGCCTTTCCCTTGTCTTAATCATTATGTTTTGCCTTTATCCTCATGCAGATGATTCAAAAGCAAGCAGTTAACTACTTTAGGATTTGGGGTAAGGCTGGGGTTGAAGGAGATGTCGCCCATAAAAGAGAAAGGAGAAGAAAAAGGAATCCACTTAATACAGAGTGACTGGAGGGGGAGAAATCACTCATATCTCATTATTGACGCGTTCCACACAATTAGTGTGATCTTGAGGGAAGAACGTTCCAGCCACCCACAACCTTGACTATTCTCATTGGATGGATGTAATAACAATGCACTTCACATTGAACTCTGCCAACACTGCGGGCAGTGATGGAGAGACCCCATCTTAGGGCTGTCACTCGTGGCTCGGGGAGAGCCCCTCTCCCTCCCTTCTCCTCTGTTCAGGGAGAGGTTAAGCCTGGTCATTAACCCATAGGTGACCCAAATAGAATTTTCTGTCCCAGGGATCCGTTGATTGCCAGGTATGGCTTTGTGGTAATTCTAGCATTTGCAACCCAGCAATTTGAACCTTCTGTCTGCTTAAATGATGATTTTACATTGTAATGATTGTACTAAATCCTTTCGCTTTTGCTCCACAGCCGCTGTTGTGACAAGAAAAGCTGTGGCAACCGAAATGAGACTCCCTCAGATCCAGTGATAATTGACAGGTAGGGACCACTCTTCTTTCCTGGGATTCTTATTCCTGATTATAATGAAACACCTGCCCGTGTGGCTCGTGGGCCAGGGTTAGGAATTCACGTCTCGGGAAGTTTGCCTGTTGGTCCTGACTTGAGTTGCGCCGAACGATCGTGATCCCTGGGAAAGCCATGTGGAATGTTCTTTGGAGGCCTGTTTCTTGGATTGCTTCGGTCTGGTGTCTGATTCATGCTCCTAAAGGAATATTTTTTTCATTCCTGACTTTCTGTGGCTCAGTCCTCATGCTGTGCCAGGAAGCTTCAGAAATAAAATAATAATAGTTTGTGATTTATGAAATGTGGTTGGGTGCTTATAAATATTTAACTTTTATTTGAAAAATGTTTGAATCATTATCACTTTTAGCTACAGTAGTTCTGTTGGACGTAATCCATCTACATTTTAAGGTTTTATTTATGCATAAAAGCAGTTTAAAGAGATCTGTGAACTGAGATTTTCTACCGTTATTTTCAGGGTTTGATTGCAGCTCATACTGTATTGTACGTTGATTAATTTATCCTGCTTGTCTTAATTATTGTGTTTTTAAACAGATCCATATTACTAATCTGACATGACCAAGTAAATCACTGTAGAACAATAAATCTGTTTTAGTCGTTCGGTGCAATTTTGAATCAGTGTGTGCACACATTATGCAGAGTTGCATTCCAAATATTCATTTTACATTTTAATTATTGAAATTCATTGTATGGAAACATGTATGATAAACCATTCGTTACATGGCATTACTCATTGGGAGTTAAATGGCCTGGAAGCTTTATAGATACTGTCAGTCGGCAGGCAGGAGACAGCCAGCATCCTCTGCTAGTCTGAAAAGTCTTGCTGATAAGACTGACTGATCCCCTCCTTGAGGAAATCAACAGTCACACAAAAGTCCCTTTTGGGGTTGTGGTCATATTGATTTTTGATGACAGCAGCAACTACCACCAAAGAAATAAACCACTTTTTGTCTTTCAAATTCTTCACCTCTTTTGCTCTTCCATTTATGGTTTTGCAGCTGAAAAAAAAAAAAACCTCAAGGTTTTGCTGCATCGTAACAATCAAAAGATTGTTGATTTCAATCTATGTGGTTCTTTAGACTTTAACCCAATACCAATTGCCAAGTAGCTTTATCAAAATTACATTTCAATTGGGTTCTTTGATAAAATACCTCTCCCTCATAGTCATTAAAAATACAGGTGTGACTAATAATATACTTGATTGAAAGTTAAGCGATGTGAAAGTTTTAACGTACAGTGCCGTTGTGTGCCGCCTGTAGAATTAGGGACACGTTTATCTGTCAGAGCAGGTATGCCATTCAAATAATTGCTTTTGCTGCCATGGAAGATAAAAGTCTTCAAATGAATAAGGTAAAAAATAAATATAAGCTTTATGCTGTTTGTTTCCACTAGATATACCTCTTCAAAATACCACTTCTTATTTTAAGCAAGTTTTTCTTACCCTTTTATTAAAAAAGAAAGCGTTCTGATCAAAGGACTAGCCCAAATAGTCCTCCAAACTTTGAAACTCGTTCTGCCACACGGTTCCTTTTGGTTTAAATGATGACAAGGACTTCACCTTGCCACCCGCAACGAAAACACTTTTTTGCTTGTGAATGGGTTAAGCTTTCAAGTTCTTCGTTTGGTTTTAAGCTGTGACTCTGATATAGAAGGTTGATATGACTGTGGTTTGAATAACATTTGATTTGACCTGTTCCTGTGGGCTTCGATGGCTAAGAAACTTGACTCAGCAGTGCTGTAATTAGCCGGCCCGTGTTTTTGAAACAGGATTGTGTTACCTGGATTGCATTAGTGTGGCTTCTATTGCTGCCGCCTCGCATCTGTCCCAGTAGGGTACTTAAAACCTTTTCTTGGCTGGGATAGTTCAAACAATTTAGGCAAAATAAGTATGCACTTTATGCTGTTGGTGGCTTTAGAGATATTACTCATGACATTTATCCTTTTCATTTTTCCCTCCTTTTGGTTGGACAAAGTAGAAAACACTGTGTCGTTAATCTTGGTCTCTGAAGGTAGGAGAACTTTAAAAAACGGCTGGAGCACAGTGTTTGTGCACAGGTCCCACCATATGTTCCTTTGCTGCCTCTTGCCACCGTCTCATATGAACTATCTTTTCATGCGGCGATACCAGTTGATAGGCAAAACCCCATTGAGCTATTTTTATTTGCATCCGAGTTTTCAGAATTTATTTGTCCTCCAGTCTGCCAAGGGTTTTAAAAACTCTGGTCCCTTCTGGGCTGATATGTGAAACTTCCATTTTTAACAACAACAGAAAATAACAACAAGAAAATAACGTTTGTGAAGAAGGAGGTTTTTCAGTTCCATGAAATTGCTGCAAAGGAAGGAAACATGATGGCCACCGTGTTTGAATTTCATAGTTCCCAATTTCATTCTATATTACTGATTGCATAATATCTGTTACGTGCGTAGAGTCTGATTTGCTTTCAGATTTATGGATGCAAATCCTTGAATATTTTGCAAAAATAGGCTAATGGGCCTGCTTTCAGGAGCAGTAGTGACTGTTTTTACAAGATGCATACAATATGTAATTATAGAGCTGAGGGTGCAGGCAGTCATTGCCTTGGGATTTAGCATAGTTTTCACACGCAGTCACCTTTTGAGCACCAATAATTTTTAGCTTCCTTGCTTGTCCTTCGGAATTTGGAAGAACACTGCTATTTTTATCAGTCAAAAGACTTTTAGCAGTGGTTATTCAGGAAAACTATTTATAGGAGAGATAGAAGACGCTTTCTGGTCATACAGCCATGGTGCAGGGCAAGCTATTTCTGTGTTTAATTTTGGCTGCATTATTTGCTGTCAGTGATTTGGGGTCATCAGCTTGGAATATTTTATCAAAAAGTAGAGTTAACAAAATCAGCAGTTGTGTCCTGGGACTTAGAAAATGAGTTTCTAATTTCTTCCAGTGGCATGCTACAAAGTCAGAAAAATAGGACCCAAATTCTTTTTCACCGTTGTGATAAGTTATCAAGTCACTTCAAAAAAGTTCATAGAAAATTTAGGTAAAAGGCAGGAAGTGTACATCTGGAGTTGACTGCTGGGATACTTTTCTGCTAGATGCCAAATGGCTTGAGTATGAATCACAAAACCCAGCCTGTGCCCAGTGATCCAGATATTTGGGCTGTGCAGACGTGGGAAAAGTCAGATGTGTTATGTTTAATAGCCGATGACCAGAAACTAATAACAGCAAATTTCATTATCATTGAGGTAAAGGGCTATGTGTGGTAATTATTGTTAAAGTAAATAGCAAAAAATGACTTCCAGTTATTGAATTAAGGTGGAGATTGATTTAACATATTCACACACTAACTCATATTTGAATTTAAAAGGTTTGCAATAAAAATCCGTGTTTAGAAATTGAATAAATTGTAGTTTTATTACTACATTGGATATCCTTGTGTCCTAACCTTTTTCCTTGGAGTTATCTCAGTTCAATAAATAAAACCTCATTAGACTATTCCCATTTCAACGAGTTTATTAAATTTTGCAGGAGTAATTAGCATAAGCTGTGCTAATTTTTCTGGAAGACTAATGAGGGAGGTTCTTAATTAGGTTTACTTTGTAGGAATCAGAAAAGATGATAATGACAAAAGTCACATAGGGAAGTTTGAACTGGGAACCCAGTTTTTTTCTGAACCCATAAAAAACTTTCCCTTTTCTATATGGAAACTTTTTTTCTTTTAATATACCCTTGAAATGTATATATTAAAAGCAAAGACTGCTGTTCTGTTCCAGATCTAGTTAGTTAAGATTAGCTTCCTTACTTGATTCATTTCACAAAACTCTTTATTTTCCTAAATTAACTTTGAGTGACGACAAGGATGAATACAGTCAGTTTTACAAAACCATTTCTTTCTCTGAATTGTACTATAGGGTTCCTTTCACACAGAGCCCTGAAGTTCCTGGCTAGAGTGCACAGGATGGGGGAAGCTCAATATTTATTTGTTTGTTTTTTCAGTTTAGCACCAGTGTGATTGATGAAATAGTTGAATCACTAAGTAAGGACAGACAGTGGGAACCCAATTCTTGAGTTCTTTGTACTGTGGATCTTTAACTCTTAACAACGGGATTTAAAAAAAAAAATGGATAGAAATAATAATGGATGAAATTCCTTCCCAAATCATGTTCTCCTATCTCATGTGAATTGGGTTCACTTCTTTCAGGGTATAATGTGAATTGAGTAACTTGTAAGTTTTGGGTTCCTCAAAGCCAATATATTTTTTTAAAGCTATTTTTTAGTTGTCAACAGATCTTTTATTTTATTTATTTATATGCGGTGCTGAGGATTGATCCCAGGGCCTCATATATGCCAGGCAAGTGCTCTACCCTTAAGCCAGAGCTCCAGCCTCTCAAAGCTAATATTTAAAACACAGATTTTCAAAGTCTGTCAGCTAATATACCTCTCACAATTTGGGGTTTGCTTAAGATAACTTTAAGATTTGCCATGTCTTTCTTTTGTGCATATAAGAATCCCTATATCTATGTGTATATTTAGGCCATGTGATATATGACATTTAAAAAATAGACAAATTTTGTAACATGAAAACCCTCTTCTGTTTGGAATTACTTCAGGCCACACATACCTTGGGCTCCTCTTCCCAACACTCCTCACTGTCCCGCCCCACAAAAAAAAAAAAAAAAAAAAGAAAGAAAGAAAGAAAAGAAAAAGAACTTACATTTGTTTTTTTTCATAAGTGTCTAATATCTTCTGCATCTAGATTATTTTTAAGTAGGTAACACTAGTTGGTTTATTTTCTGACTCTTGCCTGAAATAAAATGCCCAGTAAGGAAAATATTAGTGTGTTCATTTTACCTGTTGATTTTTTTCATGATGTACATAATTTGAACACAACACCTAACCATGTTAGGATCATGCAGAGAAAAAGTTTTACTGGGAACCCACTCTTCATCCAACAGGAAACAAGTCGGAACTAAGACACTTC